AACAGCTAAGATACTGCGCAGGACCCTCAAGCTCCCAGGCCTCTGGTAGAGGACCCGAGCTTGAAGGATAAACCGCCCGCAGGGGCGTGCTGGGTGTTTATATATATGCTCGCAGTGTCAGATTTTTAACATTCAAACATTGAAAAACTGTTGTGAATTTGACAATTGTATACAAAATACAAATTTCTACTATATAGACTGAAATCATAATAATAGCACTGGGAATACATGAGAAACTCTTAGTTACTTCGTTACCCAAATCATAAGTGAACCTTCAAAGTAATTTCAGTTTAGCATGCACATGCACTCACCAGAGACTATTAGTTTTTCCTTGCTAGCATATTGGTATGACAGCATCACACAGTTGGTGCAGATTTGTTGGCCACTCATCCATGATGAGAATTTTACCACATCCCAAAAGGTGTTCTATTGGATTCAGATCTGGCAACTAATTGACTAATTGTCATGATGAAGAAACCAAAGCTTTTGTGAACTTTGGTACCAATTTTCTTTTCCAATTCTGACAGGAGTGGCACCCGGTGTGGTCTTCAGCTGTCGTAGCCTTTCTGCTTCAAGGTTCAGGCTCAGAGATGCTCTTCTGCATACATTGGTTTTGTTGATGGGTTATTTGAGTTATTTGAGTTATTTGCCTTCCTATCAGCTCAAAGCAATCTACCATTCTCCTCTAATCTCTGGCATTAATAAGGCATTTTCAACTAAAGAACAACCAGTCTTAGCATATTACTTTACAGATGGTTTGGTGGGAAAATCCCAATAGATAATTATTTTGTGAAATACTCAGACCAGCCTGTTTGGCACCAAAAATAATTCCATGTTCAAAGTCACTAAAATCACCTTTCTTCCTCATTCTGATGCTCAGTTTGAACTTCAGCAGGTTGTCTTGGCCATGTCTGCATGTCTAATTGCTCACTGGATATTTAGCAAGCAGCTGAAAAGGTGTAGCTAACAAAGTGGCCACTGAGTGTGTACACACACACACACACACACACACACACACACACACACACACACACACACACACAGTAAGTAAAAGCATAATATATCCACTTTAAGAGATGCATCAAACAAGCCGTTTTCTAAAGGAAATAGCTTAACTTACATTATACAGATCAGAACAATTGTACCTAATGAAGTGGCCAGTGATGTTATAAACTTTGCATTTTTAGCATTTTGCTAGGCTTTAGCTGACGCCAACATGAAGTATTAAAATTATCACATTTAACTGGTGTTATTATATAAAATCAAAACGCCTCATCTGAGGGTTAGAAACAGAGAAAAAAGGGGCCTGGTGAAGAATGGAAGTGCAGAAATATGATCAAGTACACATATTACTAAAACTGGGTTTAAAACAAGGTTGAGTCTCTTTCACTGAAGTAGATTTATGATTAGGTGCCATTTAGTTGTGCTATCACATAAGCAGACCCTCTTCGCAGAATGTCAGCTTTTATTTTAAATGAGAGGCGACAGCCACTTTAAGTAACATCACTTATCTGAATCATTGTTAGCAGGTCAGTTTAAGTTGTCAGGTTACAGTTGGCTCCATTGGCCATTTTGCAGATATCTGAGTCAGATCACGCTGTAAATAAAAGGGTCCTTTCACTCCTTTACTGTACTTTGTTTTCTATTCCTGTTTTTTCTTTTAACCAGAACAGTCTGTTCACTACTCAGTGCTGTAAAGTATGAATTAAGTCATTCTATAAGAGCTTGACTGAAGATCTTTTGTAATTTAGGCTTCTGGCATCACAGGGGACATAAAATTAAAAAAGGAAAAAAAAAAAAAAACACACAGCAAAGGCTGTGAGAGCTCAGAGACAAAGCTCCAACATCTGAGGACTATCTAAAGCTCACTCTTAACAGCTGGATTAAAAAAAACCTCAAAAATGTGAACATAATATCATTTTGTATGTGAAGTCCCTCATGTTGCCTGTAGCATTGTTTAATTAAAGAGTTAAAGTTAAACATCCCACCAATGTTTTGTTGCTCTTTATTAGACTGTACAGTAATCCACTGTGGGCTATGCTGCACTGTCTCAATGAGTCAGGCTTTAGTGTCGCTTCATGATCAATTTAAACACATAACTGAGCGTGAATTTACAGACATTCATGTGCTTCTCACTCTGCTGCCGTCACCAGACCAGTGTGCGTTTATTTCATCCCGTACGGGTACATACTGTACATACAATCTGTAATATACTCCAGAAAAGTCAGGGTATTGATATAAAAGTGTGGGAACAACCTTAGATGTCACCAAAGACAAACACTGTATAATCAAATATCATCAACGCTCCAGGTTCCAACCACTGTGTTGTTGTTGTTGTTGTTTTCTTTTTAAAAACCCAGGCTTAAATCATAGGTTTTAATCATGAACAATAATGCTATCCATGTAATTCTACAGGATTCATTAAACTTCCTGACATATCTGAAGGTATTAGACATGCTGTAAGCATGGAAACAGACATTTATATACATACAGTACAATAAAAGGACATATTCATTAAAACAGTGCAGCCTACTGGGTAAAATTAGTAGTTGAGAGTCGCTGGTTAGCTAAAAGCATCTTTCTCAAAATGTATTTTTAATTTAAAGTATCTGTGCAGTAATGATTTTACTTGCTTTACTTTAATTATCAGTTAAGTATGCAGCACATAATTATTAAAGTGCTATGAAATATGTTTTTTGTATTATGTGTCACAACTCCATGGATCCTCTACCCTACACGCTTGACTTTGAGGTTAGTCAAGCTCAGTGAGGTTAAAATAATGGAGTTCAGCCTGAATGACGTAGCTGCACAACACGTCCTTGTGATCAGCAGCCACAGAAGAGTGTCAAAGTATACAATGACACAGCACACAACAGTGCACCAGACAAGCATACACATATCACTGACACACACACACACACACACGTTCTTGACTGGGACATTTAACAAAAAACCACAGCAGTACTTTCATCTCATTAAGCAAATTCTAACCTCTGTCCTCAGTTTACATCACAAATGCCGGCCCTTCGTTTGCTTCTTTTATTAAAGGTAATGCGTTGCATGTGTGTTATATCAGAAATAAAGGGTTCATGATGTGACAGTGACTGTGTACATGTGTACGTGTGTGTACGTGTGTGTGAGAGAGAGAGGGAGACAGAGAGAGAGAAAAAAAAAGAAAGGGACAGGGGAGCACGTGCCAGGCAGGGCTGAGCTATTAGCAGGCCACTTGAGATGGGTTATGTAACGCTGTGGCTGCTGCAGTACTTGCTGGGCCTGTAGTCGCTGTCATAATTTTACACACAAACACCCGCACACTGACTCACATCCACATGCACAACACCGTCAGAACAGTCACAGTGTAACAAGATCCCACTTTTTTTCCTTCTTTTTTTTTTTGCTTTGCACCACATCACTTTATCCTACCAGATGAAATCATTAGTCAGGAGCTGCTTGTGTGTTCCTGCATGCATGTGTGTTTGAGGTCATCAGGTTACAGCTCTGTTCCATCACTGGGAGGGCAGTTTAGTTCATACAGCAGCTGCTGCCAGTGTTACCCTAAAACTGTAGTGAAGTAGCGGAGAATAGAGTTAAAAAACAAAAAGATCCAATCAGTGAACTGGCACCAGCAGTATTTCTACCTGAACATCACATCAAGCACAACTCTGTGTTGGGATGTGGAGAACACAAACGGTGCAAGCTGCTGCAGACATCTGCATCATGGACTAACACTTCTCTCCAATTCAGCTGCTCTTTTACAGCTTACGTCAAAACACCGACGCTTTCTCTTATCAAGACTAAGTTACTATGTGTGAGCAAGTGGAGCAATTTAATACAACATTTTAAGATGACGGGGCAGCAAAGAGACAGACTTGTTTAAAAAACAAAAAAGCAACAACGAAAAAACAAAACAAAACAGGAATCCTAATCAAGGCAGTACAGTCTGAAACATGAGTCCCATTATGCCCTAGCAGAGCAGTTTATTGCATTTTTAATTAGATCCTTACTGTCTGGTATATGCTCACACAACTTGTGTATCTTCTGTTCAAAAAAATAAATCCAAAATAAGACTAGTTAAAAAGCTGAAGTTAAGGTAAAGTAAGCAAACAACTAATACCCTAAACATATACCAAACTTAAACTTAATGAATGTCAGAAGCTGAATGCATCAGACAGAAAAACTATTTCTGGAGATTTTAAAAATGTAAAACTCTGCTTTCAGTTCCCTGTGCAACCTGCACGTAAGTGAAACCTGCACCACCTGCACTCTGAGTACAGCACAACCTCTTTATATTTATTCTGACATGGTGGTAGGATTTTATATGAAAGATTGCAGTAAAGCACACAAGCGCTGCACAAACAAACTGTACGCAACAGGCTGTTTGTTTAGTTGTCCACGTGCGTGCGCATGTGACTGTGTGGGTTCTGCCACACTTAAGAGGTGTTAATATGTAAAACCCAAAAGAAGTTAGAAGTTCATAAAAAAAAAATAAAAAAAAGGTGATTCTTTACAAATCAATTTATTCACAATAATATTAATATTATCTCATTCTGAATTTTATGGCAGCAACATGTCTCAAAGTTCGGATAGAGGCAACAAGATGCTGGAATAGAAAGTGGTACTAAGTAGAAAGGGGTGGAACAACATGCAGCTGAACTTCTCAGAAGTAAAGATCGGTAAAGGTTCACCAATGTGCAAAAAACTGCATCTAAAAACTGTGGAACAGTTTCAGAATAATGTTCCTGAATGTAAAATTGTAACGATTTTGAACATCTCATGACCTACAATCAAAGGTTTTTTCATAATCTCTGTGTAAACGTCTGGATTCCTGTGATCTTTAGGCCCTCTGGTGTCAGTGCACTGAAAACAGGCCTAAACTGTCAAGGAAATCACTGTACAGCCTCAGAAATGCTTTAGTTCATGGTGTCATCCACAAATGCAGGTTAAAGAAAAAAGAAGAAGCCAAATGCAAACATGATCCAGAAATTCTGTTGCCTTGTCTGGGCCAAAGCTCATTTAAAATCGTCTGACGTAAAGTGGAAAACTGTGTTCTGTGATCGGACAGATCGATATTTGAAATTCTTTTTAAAGAGAACAGGACCATCTGATGGTACGGGGGTGCATTAGTACCTATGGAATTGTCAGCTTGCACATCTGCAAAGGCACCATCAATACTGAAAGGCATACAGCATACAGATTTAAGAGGAACAGATGCAGATGATGTTGTTGTCAGAAAAAGCCTTACATATTTTTGCATATTTCAGCAAGAAAACATACTGTAGCCATTGAAACAGCATGGCTTCATAGTAGAAGAGCCAGGTGCTGGGCTGGCCTGCCTGCCTTGAAAACATTTGGTGTGTCATGAAAAGAGAAATACGACAGACGGCCCAGGACTGTTAAGCCGTTAGAATCCAGTATCAGACAGGAATGGGACAGCGTTCCACTCCGAAAATTCCAGCACCCAGTCTCCTCAGTTCCTAAATCTTCACAGGCTCTTGTTAAAAGAAAAAGGTTGCTGTGTGCGTGCAAATTCAAAATTGGCTCGTGTTTCTTCAAATGGTGCATTTTCTTAGCCTAAACATTTGATATGTTTTCCATTTTCTGTTGACAATAAATTAAAGGTTTCTGAGATTTTGTTTTTAAGTAGAATTTACACAATGTCCTCACTTTTTTTTTTTTTTTTTTTTAAACTGGGTTTGTAAATTCCTGACTCATCATTGCATCATCACCCAGCAATACCTTGGCCTGGCATCAGAGAACCGACGTGTTGGAAGACCTGCTGATGCATATTAATTCAACGTCTATCACCTGTTTGTTATGCAAATTGTTCATTATAATGCCACCATTCTTATGCCCATCACGGCTGAATGTTAATCACAAAATGTGCCATTGTGCTCCAAGGCTTCATTTGAATCCATTAACCTAACAGCAACACCTTTAGTTGCCCTTACATCCTTCAACTTCTTGTCTGTGTGTCAGTGCGGCAAGTTGGTACATTGATGATAATAGGCCTGGACTGGGTTTAATTACTATTTAACCACACTGTGTCCCTGCAGGTTAGGAGCTCAGTATGGTGAGGACTACCTGAGTATAGAACCCCATCTCTCTCCAGCAACGAGGGGAAAGAGAATAAATTGGGATGCCTGGCACAGTCCTAGAGGCTCAGTCTCATTTTTTGATCACTCGTCTGCTGTAGAGGATCACGCTTCTATAGCACACTGTGCAAGTCTGCTAACTAAAGAGGCTGTGCATCTTTAAGGCTCTAACACGAAGACATCTGTATGCTCATCTGCTTGGTGCAGCTTGCCAACAAAATATGAATTAGGGGGTGAAATGAATGTGTTTGTTTGTCCATATGTTCCTGGAATAATAAGGAGGCTTGGGTGTGTTTATGTACCACCTTAAAAATGTGCAGTCTCAAATTCCTAAATCTTTACACTGCTGTATGTCTCTTAAACGTGATCTGTATAAAGAGAGTTAAGCTATTTTGATCAGACAACAACTTGTGAGATGTACCTGTTAAAGTGGATCTATTACGCTTTGACTTATTGTGTGTGTGCGCGCTTATACACTAAGTGGCCACTTTGTTAGGTACATCCGAAAAATGGCTGATTAACAAGCAGCCAATCACATGGCAGCAATTCAGTACATTCAAGCATGTAGATGTGTTCAAGACAACACGTTCAAACTGAATATCAGAAAGAGGAAGAAAGCTGATATAAGTGACTGAGCATGGCATGGTTATTGGTGCCATACAGATTGGTCTGAGTATTTTAGAGAAATCTGCTCACACTCACACACAGAAAAAAAAACATGGCTCCATCCTGCCTTATATCATCCATTCAGGCTTCCGGTGGTGGTGTAATGGTGTGAGGATGTTTTCTTGGCACACTTTGAACCCTTTAGTACCAACTAAGAATGGTTTAAACACTAATGTAACCCTAAACACCAAAGCCTAACCGAGTACAGTTGTTAACCATGACCATCCCTTAATGAGCACAGTCTGCCCACCTTCTGACAGCCGCTTCCAGCAGGATAACTCGACATGTTAAAGCTTAAATCATCTCAAACTGGTTTCTTGCACATGACACTGTACTCAGACAGCCTCCACAGTCACCAGATTTCAAACCAATAGAGCACATCTGGGATGTGGTGTAACGGCAGATCCTCATCATGAATGTACGGCCAACAAATCCGCAGTAAATGTGCGGTGCTATCATGTCAATATGGACCAAAATCTCTAAGCAATGTCTCCAGCATCCTTTTGAATTTATGCAATAAGAATCAAGGCAGTTATGAAGGCAATAGAGGGTCCAACACAGTACTAGCAAAGTGTAATTAATTGTGCGTGTTCATATTAAAGCTGGCCAAAGTTTCAGATAAGGTTAGCATATGAGGACGAGTAGAAATGATCCCTCTGAGCGGCTCTGTTTTTTCTACTCGTCACTGTAAAAGATCAGAGTGTGTCCGCTTAGCATCGTCATCTCAGACACAGAGCGCCGGCTGTGAGCACGGCAGCCCCAACCGCTTGCTGCTCAAATCTTCTTTTTACGAGAAGCTTTCAGTCAAGCTTTTTAAGCCCACTTAAAAAGTTTGTTTTACAAAGTGGGTGAACTGACACACTGCACCAAAGCCCAGCATAATATAAATAAGAATAATAACTGTTTTAGTAGATTCTGAGAATAAAAATATGGATGCGTAAATGAGCATATTTAAAGAACATAAATCTGCATTACAAAGATACACTGTAACCATTTCCTGTGTGTATAGTGTGTATATATTTGGCCTACTTACTGCAATCATTTTGTTTACGTAGCTCTCAGGACCAGTGTACTCGGTTGGATCCTTCACTCTCACCAGAACCATGAAGTAAAGGTAGTGCCACATGTTGTGTTCAGAGTTGATATGCTCCTCAAAGGACACCGTTTTGTTATCAAATTTGTCTCTTTCCAACCCTGCAAGACATTAGCTCTGTTATGAATTCTACCTTAGACCATTTTGTCTATCATAGGCATGCTAGCTATACCACGAAGCTGTCTGTACACACCACAGATGAAACAACTGGTTTTGAGGATTTCTTCCTTCCCCTGTTTCTCACTCCTCAGGTCTGCAAAGGTGTCAATGATAACACCAAAGATGAGGTTGAGAACGATGATGATGACAATAAAGAAAAACAGAAGGTCGTAAACCACTCGAGCTGCAAATAGTGGCTCCTGGAAATATGGAAGAAACGCAGAATTTTATTTCAGGTTTTTCTTCAGACAGAACACACAATGAGAAAATGCCATTTTTCTGTATTCCCTGTATTCGTTTTCAGCTTGTCCTACCTCTTTGGAGGGTCTCCTGAGAATATCTCCCACACCACCTCCATTACGCAGGCCCTGGTTCAATACAGTGATTATACACATGAGCAGAGTGTCGCACACCCGCTCGGTCCCATCATCTTCACCTAACAAGACGAAAACACAGAGAAAAACATGTGATGGAAGAAATGGAGAGAGAGAGAGAGAGATAGAAAACCTATAAAAAGGGAGATTTTATCAAGAGGACCTTTGGTGTCTAATGGGATAAATGTGCACCTTTAAATTTGTGTTACATCTGGTATGAAATTACACAAGATTGGACTGACACGCAATACTGTTGTTCTTTAAAAGTTCTTCTTAAAAGGTGCTTCCCTTTTCCATCATTACATTCTGCTCATTTGATAGATTGTTTTTATTAATCTCACAGTGAGAATATTTATTTTTATATTAGTCCTAATTTTATTAAACTGAGCTAGAAGAGTTGAAGAATATTTTAGTTCATGAAATGAAAACAACATTCAAAAACAATTTGACCTAATTCAGATAAAAGTGTGACTCAGCTGACGCTGACAAGTGACTGATAATAAAACACCTCCAACTCCTACTGTAAACGAATAAAGCCACGCACAGCATGACTGCTGAGGAGAAAGAAGAGGTGAAGGATGTGGCTGAGATCACGTGTGTGCCCTTATGGCGCAGGTGATCCGTGGAGACGAAGGAGAACAAACAGGAGTAGGAGTCACCCGCCCTGCCTCATCAAGTTTCTTTGTGTGCACAAACTCAGTGTGTGTGCATGCGTACGTGCTTGTGTCTCAGTATGTGTGTTAGTAACCTTTCAGGAAGTGATTACTGCTGGAAAGGTCACATACACGCCCACCACCCCAGTCAAAACACAAAATCTTAAAACTTATCCACTCCGTGACTTCCACCATGGGTAGGACGTATTCAGTTTAATTTTACCCCAAAACCTACCAGGAACAGATGTGGGTGTAGAAGCAGGGCATCTCTCATTCAAACATGAGCCTGCAACCTCGCTGTTGCTCAATAAATCCCCTTTTCCTACAAGAACAACAAAAACATGGGAAGTTTGCGTCAGTGACAACAGCACTAAAAATTTCCATATGAAAGGTGACGATTAAATTATGCTCCCGCATTAAACCTTCTTCCCGCTAATTCTCATCAGCTCTGGTAGAAATCAGCAAGAAAGATATAGTCAGACATTATGTAAACTGAGGCAGCAGCTGCTGGGTGGGCGGTGAAGTGTTGCTGAAAAAACCTGAGCAAATCATTTGCACATCGGCAAAGCCCCGAGCAGCAGAGGAGCCGCACCGCCTGAGCGTGATCTGCTTGGGCAGACAGGCAGAAGAAAGAACTGTGCATCTGGACCAGAGTGTCACCAAAAGAGCTTTTTACAGTGATAGTCTGGAGAACTGAGGGCAGGTGACAGGAGGTTTAGGAAGGAGAAGAAGACGACAACTTGGCGGGACAGGGGAGCACGGGGGGGTGGGGGGGGGGGTGCAGGGGTCACAGCTCTAAGTTGGCAGAAGAGTGTAAAGGGTGCTCCCCAGTTCTGATGAAGCTCCCTCACGTCGTATCTCCACTCAGCCTTCAGCTAACATACAGAGAGGCGTGAGCCCAGCTGGTTACATAACCCACCACTGCTCGGCTGTGTCTGCTGTGCTCTATTCAGTAAAACACAGGATGGCGCGGCCACCAGGTTATGCAACAGGTGCACATGTGCTAGCAGGATGTCTTCCTGACCGTGGGTGCTGGAGCTCATTAACACTACCCACACTCTCCACAGTGTTTTCAAAACATGTGTCTGGGTATATAAATATATATATATATGGCTTACTCTAGATGGTCGACAATTTCTATAGGGAGATTATACACAAGAAAATGCTGATTTGATCATTGTAATTAAGAAATTATAGATCGGATCAAAAGTGAAGGGAAAAAATGAACTCGCTGGATCAACTAGCATCCAGCAACTCCAAACTGTGAACAACGTTGTACATTACGTTCTATGATTTACACAAATTCAGAAAACGAAAACACAGCTCACTAACAAATCACAGATGTTCATGGCTGGAAAAGATTAAAAAAAGAAGAGCAAACTTGTTTCAGTTCAACTAAGGATAACTTTCACGAAAGATAACAGAAAAATATACTGAGAGGAGCGCAAAGCACAACTACAATCCAGTCTGGAGAATGAATAAAACTTTCCTTTTCCTCCTTACACAGTATAGACTTGAAATGAAGTTAAGAGAGATAATACATATCACCAGATATGCAGTTACTGCACATACTACTAGAAGATTTAATCTTTTTTTACATTGTAGAAATGATTATTTATCTAATTGTTTAAACATTGCCAAACTGGAGCCATCAGTGCATTTTTAAAGGTTTTTAAGTATGACACATTCATTGGAAAGGTCAGGTATAAGTACTATGACTAAAATAGATGTGGCATTCTTGCAACTGATTTCTATTGCATCACATTTCTTGCAGTTACATCTGAAGATGTTGAACACCACCCATGTCTCACTCAGTGTTTTTTCTGCTTTCCTCATAAAAGTGGAAGTGAAACTGTCACTATTTGGTGTAGTTTGTTTTAAATATCACACTAGACTGGTGATAAACATAAGCAGCATTTTTGAAGCATTATTTTCAAATGGCAATATCAAAGGATAGCTTAAAGCCCAAGGGATTTACGACAGGGAGAAGACCACAGTAATGACTTAGTGTACTTTAAAAGTTAAAGTTTCTGACCTGGTGAAGGAAGGCGGTCCACCTCCATGCGGAAGTCGTCTTTGAGGAAGAGGAAGCCGATGATGGAGAAAAAGTAAACGAGAAAAACGGCCAGAACCGCTGTCAAAAAAATGGAGCGGCCATTTTTCGTCACACTCTTTATCACATTGAGCAGCGTCTCCTCTCGGATCACCAGGTCGAGAAGCTGCAAAAGGAGATCGTTATCTGTGAGCCATCAGCAAACATTCGGAGAACACGGTCACAAATCAAACGAGCTCTCTTACCATAAAGCTGTAGAAGAACTCATGAACAAAGAGGCCCAGGACGCAGATGATGGTATACAACAAATGGTAGATAAAGAGGATGTCCATCACGACTGCTTTGTAGCCTCGAGTGAACGTCCCCTGGTTCCCCACAAAACTTACAAGAAACACCAACTTGTTGAAAAGCTGAAAATGGAAGAAAAACAAAAAAAACTCGTACGTGTGAAGAGGCAAGAACAGACACATTCTTCAAAAACAAGCCTTTGTTCACTTACATTGACAGCACCGAGCAAAAGCAGCGCAGGGCCGAGGCCCATTGTGTAGATAGCACGCAGAATAAGGGAGACCAGGAAGAACCCGATGCCTATTGGTTTAGGTAAGACGGGAAGCAGTGCGGTGAAGACTCCCAATGCCACCCACAGTAAGATATTCCAGAATGGAGATAATGTGCCTGTGTGGAAGAATAAACAATCGAACAAGGCACAAAACATCAATGCTTTAAAGCACAACATCCCTCTAATGAATTATTTATCTGAGCTAAAAGCTTAACTTAGCAAACAGTCAAAGGAAACACTTTAAAATGTCAAACAACCATCCATGGGGACAGCATCAGTCAAAACAACCAACTCTTCTTCAGCTCACTGAGTAAATCAGCAGAGTGATGCTCATGGGTCTTTTGGAAACTGCAAAGTGCTGACAATTCATTGAGGAAGTATTTATCAGAAAGCCATCTTTAACACTTCTGTACGCCACAGGAACCACGTGTACAGTAGGTTTACATTTCAACTAATCACACCAAGGCAAACCAGCAAATACAGCAAGTTCTAGTAACATTTGGCAAAAACTAAAATCAGGTAATCTAACATTGCACGTAAAGAAATGAATTTTAAAGAGTAAAATAGGATGATTATTGGGTGATTTAACTTCATCTGATTAATTAGGTCTCAGGCTGACGCCAGGCTGAGGGCAATGACATGAAGTCGTATCAACATACCGATAAAAACGATTAAAGTCCAAGTTGTCCCACCTCAAAACGATATCATGATGACGTGTGAAGGATTTCCTTTAAGCACATTTTGTACACGCCTACTGCTTCTTATCCAATTAGATACTGTATGTTAGATAAATCACCAGCATTCATGAGACTGAGTGACCAAGGTGTTTAAATAAATGCAGCATCACGTGTCACAGAACACACATTTTCAGTCATAAAAAGAAAGCAATAATCATTAATAATTAACATTCCAAAAAAAGAGAATTGTTATAAACTTACTTTACTTGAAAATTAATACATTCAAAGTGTTCTTCCATAGGTTTTTAAAATTATTAAAACTGCTTGATAAAACAGCTGTAAATAGATAATTTTTTTTAAAAAGATCTGCCTGTTGCTCATTGCGTTGTAGCTGATGGTTGGTGGTTGACACTCCAGGCAGTGGTTGCACAGGTTTTCCTCATGTCACATGTCTCATGCTGTATTCACCTCATTTGCCCGTCTTAAAACTGAAATTAGTTTAAATAAATGGCCCCTTTGCCGACAGTTGCTTTAAAATTTACCACATTTCTTTCTTTCTTTTCATCACATAGCCACTAGTCTCTTTAACTCTCTGTGTGTACGCCTCTTTATTTTGCATGCTTGACTCCCTCATTATTTTAGTTGGATAATACTAATGAGTGTGTCTGCATTTGAATTAAAGAGATACGGCATAATTTAGCTGATATTAAGGACTTTTATTCTTCACATACATTTTCTCAAGTACATTTATGAGATGTTATTTCAGCACCAGGAGCTGTCCATACTATGCTCTATACAAATTTTACACACAATGCACACAATAATTCTGTCTGCCTCATATGGTCAGTTCATCTCTACTTTGATATTGGCAGATGTATTGCAGATTAAATAGTTAATCCATGTCCAGTAGGAGCCATTTGAAGACCACTGCCTTAAAACATTGGTTTGCTTAGCAAAAGGTTTAAAAAAAATGGCTTGAAATTACAAATTACAATTTGAGAAATATGCAGAAATTCTTACCCTCATCTTCATCGTCACCAAAAGGGTAGAATACAGCCACAGCAATGTTGAGCAGGAGGGCCAGGTAGAAGGAGATGCTCCCCCAAAGAGAGATGTGACGTGAGAACCAGAACAGAGCCTTATTTTCTGTGCAAACACAACAGGGAGCATAAGTACAGGCACACGAATTCAGCACACACCACATCACTGCAGGCCCTTCAGTTTACTGTGAAAATAACATAACCAGACTTGCTGGATGGGAATCGTGATTTGTCGTCCTGAAGCCTGCTCCTGCTGCCACCACCGCCACCACAATCATTATTATTTTCCAAGAACTGGATGCCGATTATAAGGAAGACTTACTGCGGATCTTCTTCTGCCACCTCATCTCATTGTAGAGGTTGTCAAACTGGTGGAAGAAGTCATTAACCTTGCTGCCTTGGTCATCTCTCTCAGTGGTGGTGAATACACGCATCTTTGACTCCTCAGTTAGGTACTCACAGATGTTAGGAACTGGAAACACTATCTGCTCCATGCTGCGGTCATTACGCACAATCTGATAACAAAGATTAAAGGTTTGGCTTACAGTTTTATAGTTTGACGAACAATTTAGGAAATTTTAGGATAAATGACAAATTGATGATGCGGGTTACCTCTATCTGAGCTGTGTGCTTCGCATAGTAACGGAGGGCATCATCCTTTTCCTTATCGTGGTCCATGCCTGACCCCAGACCTAACCCTGACCCAGGGGTGAGGCTCTGCTGCAAGATTTTGTTGTGCCTGGCCAACTAGGAATGAAGAAATATGATTAATATGAAGATATGATTTTGCTGCACTACACTGGATGATACTGTAACCAGTAATGAACCAAAACTAAACAAATATGGTTTACAAAATCTCCTCATGAGCGTTAATGTCATGGTCATTTTTATGGATTTTACAAGACATGACTGTGACTTTGGAAAACAAGAACTGGGTGCTGCTTTAACCTTGACTGAAATTTGAAATAGCCCATATGGACAAGAAATATTCCTTCTGGAGAAAAGTTTTATGGTCAGCGCAGACAAAGGTAGTGCCATGATGACAAGAGGTATGTTTCGTGGAGTAAAGGTGAGGCTTTCACACTAAGAACACTCAACTGCCAAGCATGGTGGTGGTAGCATTGTGCTCTGGGAAGTTTTGCTGTCAGTAGTACTGGTACACTGCACAAAGTGGATGGAATAATGAAGAAAGTTCTTTCACCTCACATTAAATTAACATCTAAATGGTTGAAAATTTGGCAAAATTGGGTTTTCCATCAGAGCAATGATCCCAAACGCACATCAAAACTGGTTTTGGGATGGATAGACCAGGCTAACATTAAGCTTCTGGAATGACCTTCCCAACTCCATGAACTCACCTCTATCGGAGGATTTTGGAGCAGGTCTAAAACCCAGGTGTGTGACAACCAATTTAAATAAATTCTGCCAAGAAGAGTGATCACTATCAAAAGGTGTGTGTGTGGTCGAGATGCAACTTATTAAGAGATGTTTAATACATATATTTGATCACTGTTTATATATTTTTGAAAGTCCAAAATAAATGCAATCTTGTGCACCCGATTCTTGTTTTCTAAAGCAATTAAAGATGTAAAGTATACAATCATTCCACCCTGGAAAAAGCCCTAAATTGTTGTGAAATTCATACCCATGATGAGCCCACAACATCTGTAAGTAATGTCTATATACCGTTCAAATTCAAGCTTTATGGCCTTGTTTTTTGTAATAGAGCTAAAGCTGCCATCTCCCATTAAAGGAATTGAATTATTTCACAGTTTTAAAGTGATCCAGATCCCAACCAGAAACCAGCAACAGTTTCTTTCTTTCCCCACACTCTGCAGAGGTAGTTTTTATGTATCCTTGCTGATAAAAAGACATTGAAAAGGACACCTGTGGCACAAGAATTAATAGATGAGTAAGAAACAGGTTCTGGCCTTTTTCCTTTCCTGTGTTGTTTACTTGTTTTGTGTACACTGAGGTCAACTAGAAATCTAGGTTCAGTCAACAAATTAGATTTCCTTATTTTTTTCTGCTTCTCTTTTTAGGTGAGGAAAATTTAACATGGTTTGTGGAGTTCTGAATACTTGCTGAGGTTTTTTTTTAAATTTATTATATTTTAAACATCTATTTTACTCCTTTAAAATAGGCAATTGTAGAGAAATTAAGAACCATTTAGTTTGTGCATTCTATCTATTGTTTATTTTATATTATCAATTTAATTTGTTTATTTAGACAATCAGAAAATATATTTCAAAGCTGATGCACACATTTGTGCATTCCTGTTTTAAGCTGAAAGGTTATTTTTTAAAAAGTCAAACATAAAAAAAAATAAAATGTAACAAAAAAAAAACATGCACACTTCCTTGTCATGATGAAACTCGTCTGCTCTGTAGACCAAAATATCCTGTCTGACACTTTGCTCTAAAGAGACAGAAGTGAAAACCCACAAGACTTGGCTTGCTCTCAACAACTTCCAAACAGCGTAGACAAAGACTGAGACACGTCAGATGGACACACACATTTAGAACAAAAATAAATTTCTCAGGGGTACAGTACTCCTTCCTCATTCCCTCGTTCCTGATCCCTGGACAAAGCAAACCATGTGTATTTAGTTGTGCAGCGACTACCTGCCTCAGTGAAAACGCCTAAAGCCTATCTGTCAGTAGAGCCAATGTCACAACACAAAAACTCATTTCAGAAAACTGTCAGAGCAGTTCATTCAGAGAAGCACTCCTCCATCACTTGGCACTCCTGCACTGCACTGGCCCAGTGGTCATTAGACTAAAGCATCCCTGCATTTCCTCTGTTTGTCTGACCACTTTAGACTAACTCAAGTTTAATCTTTTCTTTTACCTGGTGGGCCAGGATGTAAATGTTGTGTCCGACATCTTTAGGTTTGATCTCGTCTCCCATGCCGTCATTGTCATCTTCACTCTGCAAACCCTGTTTGTAGGCGTCCTTCATGACATCCACCTGAAGCAAAAGTGTTTTAGAGGTCACCGTTTTTGCACCACACATGTCAGGTGTAGTTTGTGTGCATGCATGACCACACTCACCAATTCAGTGGGTCTCATCTTGTAGAGAATCTTCTCTGCGTTCTCACTGTCATGGCAGCTCTCCATGATAGCTAGCAGGAGCTTGGAGGCATTGTTCTATGATACACGTTTCAAAATAATCAGCTTTTATATTTTGATCAGTTACACAAAGCTGAATAATTGAAAGGAAAAAAAAACCAACAATACTGGTCAGATGCAGTTTTTTCAGAGTGCTGTGATTCGACTAAAGGGTTGTACTACTAAAGACATCTGCAGTCAGACAGCCAGTAAACATGGGCTTTATTTGCCCCATTGCCTTTTTCATCATTGCACAATTGTTATCTATATTTAATTAATACTATGCAGCAATGCAAGTATATAATAGGGTAATGGAAATGTGTTGCCTCCCAGACCTCTCATACAACTACTGCTCACCTTGAGTTGCAGCACCAGGTCCAGGTGATCCTTACCCAGGGGGTTGATGGCGTTGACAATCAGTGCTATAATAATATCAATACCATTTGACTCATGTTTAGCTATACAGCTCTGGAAAAGAAAAAAAATGGACATGCTGTAGTCAGTGTTGGCTACATTACAAAAAGAAAATCATTAATATAATTCATCAGAAGAAAGTGTCTGTGCTTTACAGGTAAATCCAAATAAAAGATAGTTTAAGACGGCTTACTACACCACAGCTCATGATTAATACAGCGGTGTGATCACAAAGTGACCAGGTCCACTGTAGACAGACATTTATGCTCATATTCACACCAACAGTAGATTTAGAATCACCAGATTTCCTCCTCCTTCTAATTAGAAACCAACACAGACACAGGCGTAACATCCAAACTCCATACAGAAAGGCCCCAGCTGCTCAGCTGGTTCGAAACCAGAAATTTCCTGTTTCCTGTACTCTCAACTTGACTGGACTTGAACACACGAAATAAGAAAAGCTTTTCGCTACAGGTTTAACGATACTGTATGATGCTTCACATTTAGGAAAAGATGAACAATTTTTCAAATATATTCACAGTATTAGGCTCTATTAAATAAATATGTTGACAACTTGACTATCCAATAAATCGAGCATTTTCTCTCAACTAACCAGCCACCCTCCTCCTACCTGGTTTTCATGGCAGGGCCCCTGGCAATACTCTGTAATGGTTTCCAACGTTTGGAGAATCAGATCCACATTATACTCATTTATATAAAGTCCCAGCAGCCCTAGGCCTCCAGTGGTGCTCCCACAAATGCAGTCCAAGAACTGAAGAGTCTCACACACCAGATTGTAGTTAGTCTTGTTGTTCTGACTGCGCAGAAAGTTCTGGATTCAGAGCAGGAAAAAAAAAAAAGTCAATCAGCGGTCATTTTAATGACTGGACTTAGAAGGGCAAAGTTCACAGAGCATCAGTACCTGCAGCTTTGAATTGTGGTTCTCACAGAGCAGCTGTAGGTAACGCAGGATTGGTTTCATGATAGATACAGCCGGGCTCATCTGAGTGTCTTCCGATGCCTCCTCAGTACCGATTATCTCACTGTTTTGGCCGAGGCCTTCAAGGTCAGGGTCCAGCTCTTTTCTGAAGGCTGAGAAGGCCTTTGAGGTCACTGAGGAGGCTTCTTTTAGCTGCCCTCGCATGTCGTCCCTCATGTGAAGCCCAGAATCTTTCCCTACAAAGAAAGGATTTATTGAAAAAAAAAAAACACACACACACACACACAAACAGACACACAACACGATTCACTGTTTAACTGCAGGGCAGGAGCAAATTGCTTCCATTCATAAGTGCGGCAATTGTATTCAAGAGAAATTGATATGTGTGTATATATATATATTTATTTATTTATTTACAGACGTTCACTGACAAGCAGGCAACAATTTAGTGGGTTTCTGTAGCATAAAAACACCCAAACTTGATACAATGGCCTTTTGATAGGATTGCAATGTGGGCTGTCACATGCTTCAGACATGTGACTGCTTAAACTGGGAACAACAGTTTCAACAGAAGTCAGCAGAGCTACAAAAATCATTGTGGATTTATCCACTACAACTGTTTTAAACTAAACTAAACTTGTAGACCTCAAACACTGTAAAAGCATTACTTTTTTCCAGTCTGTGGCTTTTTAATTCGCTCTTTCTATGGAAATGCCTGGATGTGCTGAGGACGTGAGCCTCATGACTCAGTATTGCACTTTTAAATCCTCATCGCTAGGTACCTCTGACATTATAACAGAGGTGATTCACTTCTAATGAACTTTGCTTACTTACTTTCAGCCTCCCTTTGACATTTTGACACAGTGGTTAGCTGCATTTTGAGCTCACAAACGTTATCTGGACATTATGTGGTGTTTTTGCTCTAATAAGTCAATAATGTGAAAAAAATGAAAAATACACCATCACTGAACGGTACCTTTTTTAACCCTGATACTACTGACATCACTGTCATCGTCCCTTCTTTTGCAGGTGACTTCAAACATGTTGACTGACACGGTGGCTCGAATCTCCTGCTGGGCCAAACGCATGCGGTCGTAGAAAACCTTGAAGAACCTCTCGGACTTTTTCTGCTTGTTCAGTTGGCTGTAGAATGAGTTCTAGTTGGGAGCAAAAATGGCCATGAGTATACTTCTAAAACATGTGGAGGAGAAGTACAGGATTCGTGTATCTGTGAAGCCAACCTGTATCTGTGTGTTTCCACCCCTGAGAAGGGCAATGCCCAGCTCGATGCTCTCCTTAAACAGTCGATCATTCTTGGTGTTGACGATGAGTTCAATTACCATCTCTGTTGCCCCAACATTGTCCAAAAGACACTGAATATCCGAAACAGTGGTGGCTGGCTTGTCAGCGTCTACCATGGGAGAACCTCCTGCAATGATGTAGAAATTTAAATTCTAGCTTCTGCTTCTCATGCTCTTTCTGAGTTAGTCTCATGTATGTTGCCTGTGCTTTTTGTGCTGCGGCTCTCCCTGCCTCTGGCTTTCCATGCATGCACATACCATATATAAATAATTGTAGATAGAAATAATCTCTTTTTGAGAAATTGAACAGGAAAAACTTTACAAATGTTTGATTATTTGTTATGCTCATCTACTATATTCCACACCTGCCTGGACCAAATATTTGTGGGATGCATTATAAACCTCTTATGTCTGCCAACAATTGTCAAACAGCATACTGCCTAAGAAACAGAGCACTGTCATTTTAGTTCCTGTTGTTTCCTCGGCTGTGAGTAGTTATTGCAGCATCTACTCAGTTTATTTGGGGTTCTCGGTACCTCCAGGTGACTGCTTGACAAAGCCACCAGATGAGCTGTTTCCACTCCCGAGCTCTGACTTGGAGAGGAGCTTTTGATTTCCAAAGTAGCGTGTGAGGAGAATCTTTCTCAAGTCGTTTCCCTGTGGAGACAGAAATCATAATGTTAAATCCATTTAAAAGTCTGACTGAGTATGAGCTTTAAACTAGGAAATTCACACATATTTAATAGATTTTGATAAAGCTTTTTTTCCCCTTTACAGAAAGGGAAAGAGGAATAACTATAAAAATGATCAAAATGAAGGACAAATCTTAAGAAGGGAACATTTGTGGTAAGGTGCATTCATTGGCATGAAATCCATCCGATCATCTCTCAGAGGGCTGAGCAGATTTCATCTCATTTCACCTAATAGGAATCATCGCCATCATCCCATGACACATTTCTGCCTTGATGGAAGCAGTGGTTTGCAGTATGACAATGCTCTTATCAACAAAGAAATTGGAGCTTGAGAGAGCATGACGGTTATAATGTTGTCCAATATCTTGATCCTATCTGAGCATTTATGAGAGATTCCGAGATAGCAGCCAGGGTGTGTTTGGAGAAAAGCAACCATAAATGATGACAGATGTTACTTTTATTTTTAGTTAATATTAGTCGGCAATGAAAGTCTCCAAACAGTTAAATTTTTAAACTGACATGATGAACCGCTGATCTTACCCCAAACTATTTGGGATGAGGCTAGTTTTCCCTCTCTTATTGTGCAAAATAGGACCACACTGTGCTTCTTACACACACACACACACACACACAAACACACACACACACACACACACACACACACACACACACACACCGTGTGCACATAGGCATGCAAGTGAAAACAAGTGGAAAAAGGTTATACAGAATGTGGTCATTTGCGTGCAAGGATTACTGATGCATATGTATAAAGTAATGCATTGCACAACACCAGCTTGCCTCTAGCAGCTCATTTATTTAATAACTGCATTTATTTTCTTTCGAATAAACATCTCTCTGTGTCTGCGACATTTGACGCAGATGAGCAGAAATGAGATTAAAAGATTCACGGCGACAATCGCCCTTCAGTGGTTGTGTAATCAAAGTGTGTGATTGGCAGGTGGATGACTTGCATTGTACATTTCACCACCTATTTTTAAAGAACAACAGGGAGAGCGATGGATGGATGAAAAGAAGGAAATATAAAGGGAAGATAAAGTATGTATGAACACTACATGTGGTCAGCACCTGTTTCTATGGTAATCCAACAACGCATCAAGGCCTTGTTTCATGACACCTTACCACTGGTATTGATCAAAAGACTTCAAGAAGAGATGGGTAAGGGGTGGAGTTAAAATTAATGGGCTGTAAGCAGCCATGTATGGTTTCCATGGAAACGTGTTAGCAGGCTAGCAGAAAGGCAGGTGCCTGTCAAAATAACAACTGAATACACTTGATGTGTTACACTCTGCTTGTGCCATGTTAGACCTCCCTTTTGCCATCAGAACTCCTAATTTTTCATGCTATAGATTCAGCAGGGTGCTGGAAACATTGTCATCATGATGCAACTCTCCTGTTCCTCCTAGTCCCAAAGGTGCTCCATGTGATTGAGATCCGGTGACTTTGGAGACTATTTGTGTACAGTGAACTAATTGTCATGTTCAAGAAACCAGTCTGAGATGATCCGAGCTCTGTGGCATGCCACATTATTCTGCTGTGAGAAGCCATCCGAAGATTGGTGCACTGTGGTCATTAAGGGATAGACATGGCTAGAAATAGTACTCGGGTAGGCTGTGGTGTTAAACAAATTGTTCCTAGAGCCTAGAGTGTGCAAAGAAAATATCCTATACTACTAGACCACCACCACAAGCCTTAACTGCTGATACGAGGCAAGATGGACCCATGCTTTCATGTTTTTTATGCCAAGCATACAATGTTTAGCCAATCTTCTATCGTCAGATTTTAGTTAACCTGTGCAAATTGTAGCCTCAGTTTCCTGTTTTTAGCTGACAGGAGTAGCACCCAGTGTGGTCTTCTGTGGCTGTAGCCCAACTGCTTCGATGTGCTTGATGTGTTTTGCGTTGTGTATAGGTTGGTTGTAGGGACACAATTTTGGCTTCCCACATTTAAACACAGACAGTCTTGAAAATGTGTTATTTAAATCGAACGCAAAGCAAAAACAAATGAGGCACTCCCCCACCTGACTAAATCAGCGCTGAACCACATCCAATCACAACTGTTCACTGGATTACGAAGCCTGAAGCTTCCTGGACTAGTCTAGACCGATAACACAATGTAAAAAGACAGATATATTTAAAAAATCGAATGACTGACACAGTAGAAGGTGAAGAGCTTAGCAAAGCGGATTTAGGGTTAGTGACATTGACCAAGAAGAGATTATATACAAAGAGTGTTGTAGAGTTGTCTCTGTGCCACAAAGCAACACAACTAACATAACCAGCGGCCTGAAAACTTACCACCAAATAATTAGTATAATTAATGCATGAAGGACAAGAGAAGCAATGCAATGGTTGCTAACCTGAATTGCTCAACATCAACACAGACATTCATAAAAGTGAGGCTGTATGGCACACCACTTTGCTAACAAAGATGTACTGAAATCACTAACACAAAGCGTTCACTAAACATTTTTACTATTGAAAGCTTCAGGAATGCATTTGGGGGGTTTTTCAAGATGGAAAAACTTGCTAAATGTTGCAGGAGAAAAAGAGATAGATCTCACAACAGTAAATTACTATGCTACATCACTCATGCAGGTCCAACAAATTTAGTTTTCTTCCAAGCGATGCACCGAATTTATGCAAACGAGGATACATTTTCTTTTGATGCAAAGATTTGTAAATGAACAGGAATGTAGCGCAACTTGGATGCAAAAACAGTGTTATGTTTAAGTGAAAGAGAATTTTTTTTTTTGCTCTGTCAGTTTTTTGTCAGTTAATTTTGACAATAATCGCACAGCCCTACTTGATTGTAATGAATCAGTATTTGTTGCCTTCCTATCAACTTGAAGCAGTCTGACCATTCTCCTCTGAGCTCTGGCATCAGCAGAACAGTCTCTGTAATCGCTCTGGGTGGTTGTGCAGAAAAAGTCACCTATATCGCCATTTCTCTCCATTCTGATGCTCAGTTTATAATAATAATAATGATAATACATTTTATTTATAGACGCCTGTTGAGGACCCTCAAGGTCACCTTACATTAGTACAACAAAATAAAAACATAAGATAAAGTATGTAAGTATAAAAGCTAAGTAAGGTAAAAATAGACTAAGACGGAGTCATGGTGAAGAATATGCAATTCTGAATGGATGGGTTTTAAGACACAATTTAAAAGTAGAGAGAGAGTTTGTAGTCCAGAGATCCGGTGGAAGTGCAAAGACTTCCAAAGACTCAGAAGGAAAGTCAGAAGGACGTAAGATTTAACATTGGGCAGGTTGCCATCAGGTCGCTGCCACATGACTGGCTGATGAGATATTTGCATTACCAAGCATATTGTAAATCTTGTTTTATATTTGGTACTTTTAATTCTTTTTATGTAGCTTTTATGTTGAATCATCTTTGAAGCACTTTGAACTGCATCAACCTTCATGAAAGGTCCTATACAAAGAAGGATTGATTTATTCACTGACTGGCATTGTTGGTTAGACAAGTCACCTCACCTCACCTACAACCCTATAGACATTTAATGGAAATTTTTCCCATTCCATTTATCCTAATACTTGCATGAAAATAAATACATTTCCTTTATTATACATTTCAGAATTTTGCAGTTTGTGACTGACGCACCAGCAGTTCAGCAATTATCTGGTCTCTTTGTTCCTTTGCAAGTTTCCCTGCTGTGATTGTCACACCTCCTTTAAAGCTGACACATACAGCTAATTAGTATTCAGATGTATATGACTCATTTGTGTAGCTGCCATTGTAAGTTGTAAGTAGTTGCTTCTTATAAAATTGTGGGTGCATTTGGATGTGTCAAATGTAGTGTGGTTCATCCAAAATGAAACTGAATTATCAAGCAGAAATAATGGGATTTCTTTTTTTCTTTTAAAAAAAGCTCCAAACTGCAACCTTAAAAAAAGAAAAGGTCTAATTATACAATATCAAGGCATCAGGCAAACGAGGTACCTCTATGTCTCATCACAGAGGCTGGCCAGATACAGTTCAGCTAAGCATCCTCAAACTAAGTGTACCGAAGAGCAAAGATGTGGATGAGCACGTGTAGCTGATGCTCCCTGTGTCAGTAAACACTCTATCTCATCTGCAGTCAGCAGAGACACTTGTCTGCCTGCACTGTCTGGCTGAGATGTCTCACAGAAATACAGACACACACCCACATAGACACACACACGCACGTACACACACACGTGCACGCACACACTTCTTGAACTGAAGGTGAGGATCCATTGAGTCAGTGTCTCTCATTTCCACACACCACTACACAGACACAATCCCAGTGCATCTCCAACCTCAGCACTACACTCTATAAGGCAATGCATCCCACTGCATGCTCCCTTGCAAACTAAACATGTTTGACTTTCCCCTTTTCCCTCTTGCAGGGAGAAGTTGAAAGGTGGGGGTGGTGACAGGTTATTGGGGGGATTTTTTTGTCTCCCTTCTGGGTGATGCAGTGTGCTGGCACACACTGCAGCCAGCACACTGCTAGGTCTGCAGAGAGAAAGGAGAGGATAGAGGAAGCAGGATGGCAGTAGAGAAGAGTCAGCCCTGCCTGACTCATCTGCTTGTTGCTGCATTGACAAGAAAAACTCTAGTCAGGTGATGTAAGAGCCGAGAGAGGGGGGGGGGAAGAGAGAGAGAGAGCGAGAGAGAGAGCGAGAGAGAGAGAGAACTGACAAAAGTAAGAGGAGGGTGGCAGGAGGAGGAGGAGAGGAACAAACAAAACCTAGCAGTGAGCAGACAGTCGTGGTGTTTTAAAATGTGCACCGGCACGCCACACTGCGGCTCTGGTGTCCAAGCTGAGGATGAGCTGCCGATCCCCACCTCCAGCTTCACTCCCCCCCACCACCTCTCGCAGCTCTGCTGTCTACAGATTCCTGTAACTCCGGTGAGAAGCATGGATAAAAAGACACCGCCTGTTCTGTGCTTCTTT